TAACATTAATTACTATGTAAAATAAATTGCTACATCATTAGCTACCTATTGGGACTTTGATCAGTTGATACACTCGCCGTAATATTCAATTCATCCACAATTGCAATCAGTGCCTGCTTTGTGGTCTCCAGCTTGCAGCGTAGATTGACTTGTAATTTGGACTTATTATCCACAATGCTCAGTTCGCAGTATTCGACCTAAAATGTGAAACTATATTAACAATACAAATATCAAAGCCCTGGACGGGCTCACCTGCTTCATGTTGCGAAAGACGCCGAGGCATGGCTTCATAGCTATTTTACAAAAACAGTCACCGCTGGGTGGTAGATTAAATGTATCAAACATACTGCGACTAAAGCTAATGCTAGCCACAGCAGATTGCGTGGGATTGATAGAGCGCATTGTTAATCCATGGACATCAGCTTCTATGAATAGCTCTTTGCCAATTTTGGACAACGATTGTATGGCCTTGGCAATGACTAGCAAAATAATTGATTAACACATATTAAATCAAACAAATATATGAATTATTTACCACGCGCATTGCCTCCCTCCAGAGTGCATTTCATAATTTGCGAAATTTCACTTTCGGCGCGCTTTAGTTTATAAACAAAGCCGCTGGGTCAGCTGATAAGACTAATAGGCTGGCAGCTTTGAAATGAAATGTCTGGCCACTCTAGAGTAGCTATTTCAGAATAGTTCAATTAATTTAGAAAGCTGTGTTGCTGTATTTAATAAAAACGGTAACAAAATATTAACTGAGCTCATCAGATTATAATTATTTTTTAATCAAAGCAAGTAGAATAAGGAACTGTTAAATGATCGAAAAACGTTTAAGAAATCTGTCGAATTATTGCTACATTAACCAGACAGAACTAGTCTTGGAACTGGAATACCAGCTGGTTCAGTTTAGCATCATATTGAGCCATACATTCGTAACAATGTGGTAACGCTTGTCCGGCCGGTAAAACGCCACATCAGTTTTTCGCCTTAAATTTAATTAAGACTTCGGTAGAGTACAAAAAATAAAGTGAATTAATTCAACAGGGAGTGATTATTAAGTCCGAAAGTTGTTATAATAAGTTCGACATGTTCACGTAATAGAAGAACTTACAGATACATTCATAGCTGAAAATGTTACGTTTTGTGTGTGTATTGCTGCTGGCAACTGCGACGTTCACGCTGCTGTCGCCAGCTGGTGTTTCGGTGGGGGCTACTGAGTCCAGTCAAAGTTATCCAATTACCACTCTCATTAATGCCAAATGGACACAAACGCCACTGTATTTAGAACTTGCCGAGTATTTGGCGGACGAACAGGCAGGTCTCTTCTGGGACTATGTGCAAGCTGTAACGGCATTGGACACGGCGCTCAACGATTATGGTAGGTGTTGAATGTGGGCTTGTATTGGGGTAGTGATAGTAATGGAGTCATTTATTGCAGATACGGAGTCGCAACAGTACAATGCCGCCTTGCAGTTGGTGCGCTCGCATGTGAGTACACCACAGCTGCCACTCCTTAAGCTGGTCGTCGCGATGCACAGTTTGACGCCACGCATCCAAACGCACTTCCAATTGGCCGACGAGCTTCGTGCAGCTGGGGCCTGTGAGGGCAGCATCTTCGCACAGGTGGGCACCGAGCTCGCCTGCAGCTATGCGGAGCTGGAGCAAAAGCTGAAACTCCCAGTTGCCAAAAGCAGTCTGGATGCTGATGTGGCCAGCTACAGCTTTGATCATGTGTATCCTGGTAGTGAGAACAACACCCGTACTGTGGTGCTCTATGCTGATTTGGGCACTGCCGCATTTCGACCATACCACAAGCTACTGGAAACCGCTGCAAATGCTGGTAAAGTGCGATACCTGCTGCGGCATCACCTGGGCAAGCGAAGTGATCGGCCCGTGCGTTTATCGGGCTACGGTGTGGAGCTACATTTAAAATCCACGGAATACAAGAGTCAGGATGATGCGCCTAAGCCGGAGGCTGGCGCTGGCAATGGTGATACATCAGAGGAATTAAACGAAACGGATGTGCAGGGTTTTGATTTCAAGCTACTTAAAGCCAAGCATCCCACGCTTAAGCGTGCACTGGACCAGCTACGCCAACGCTTGCTCCAGGGCAACGATGAGATTGCTCAACTAAAAGCTTGGGAATTCCAAGACTTAGGACTACAGGCGGCCGCATCCATAGCCGAGATACAGGGCGACGAGGCACTGCAGATACTCCAGTATACGGCGCATAATTTCCCAATGCTGGCGAGGACACTGCTCGCCCACAAAGTCTCTGATGAGCTTCGCGCAGAGGTGAAGCACAATTCCGAATCGCTGGGACGCAGTTTGAATGTGTCGCCGCCTGATGGAGCTTTGTTCATAAACGGATTATTCTTTGATGCGGACACCATGGATCTGTACACCGTAGTGGAGACGTTGCGCTCGGAGATGCGTGTGCTGGAGAGTCTCCATGGCAACAATGTGCGTGGCCACTTAGCTAGCGCATTGCTAGCTCTGGACTTGAACAGTGCCAACAAAAAAGAGTTTGCCATTGATATCAGAGATACGGCGGTGCTGTGGATCAATGACATCGAACAGGATGCGCAGTACAGACGCTGGCCGCCATCCGTGATGGATCTGCTGCGTCCCACATTCCCTGGCATGTTGCGCAACATACGCAAGAATGTCTTTAACCTGGTTCTCGTTGTGGATCCACTGCAGCCAGAAGCGCGCAGTGTCATCAAGTTAGCCGAATCCTTTGTAATACACCAAGCGCCCATACGCCTAGGCTTGGTCTTCGATGCCCGGGCCATGGAGGATAGCACTGCTGCCGATTATGTGGCCATTGCGTGTGCGTTCAATTATGTGAGTCAGCAAAAGGACGCTCGCGCCGCCCTTAGCTTCCTCACGGACATCTATGCGACAGTGGGCGAGACAGCTGTCGTCACCAAGAAGCACATCATCAAGCAGCTAACAAAGGAGTTTAGCTCACTGAGCAGCAGCAAGGCCAACGAGTTGCTTGGCGAGGACTCCGACTACGACTATGGGCGACAGCTCGCTGCAGAGTTTGTGCAGCGCCTGGGCTTCGGTGCAGTGCGTCAGCCGCAAGCACTGCTCAATGGCGCCCCCATGCCAAGCAATATCATCAGTGCGGACAGCGACTTCGAGGAAGCCATTTTCACGGAAATCATGAGCCAGACAACGGTGCTGCAGAAGGCCGTATATCGAGGCGAGCTGACCGATGCGGATGACATAATCAATTACCTGATGAATCAGCCGCATGTGATGCCCCGCCTCAATCAACGCATTCTCAACCAGGAGGATGCCAAGTATTTGGACATTAATGGTGTGGCCTCCAAGCAGTTGGGCAATGTTGTAGCGCTCAACAAGCTCTCGAATCGCGATATGACTGCCACGCTAATGGCCAATCTGAAATACTTTGGCGGCAAGAAGAGCTCGGAGCGTATTGGCAGCGCCTCATTGCAGTTCCTAACGCTCTGGGTGTTTGCCGATCTGGAGACTGATGAAGGTCGCTCATTGCTAATCCATGCACTGGAGTATGTGCGTAGCGGTGAGAGTGTGCGATTGGCATTCATTCCCAACACGGAGGGCATTAGCGATAAACGAAGTCTGAATCATTTGGCCTGGGCGGCTATGCACTCGATGGAGCCAGCCAAGGCAACGGATCAGGTGTTCAAATGGCTGCGGGGGAAGAAGCAGCGTATCGATGATATACCCAAGGAGTTGGAAGACGTCCTGGGCAGCGCGGAATTGCATCTGAAGATGCTACGCGTATATGCACAACGTGTGCTGGGGCTATCCAAGTCGCAGCGTCTAGTCATTGGAAATGGTCGACTCTACGGGCCGCTCAGCTTCGACGAGATCTTCGATAGCGCCGACTTTGCGTTGTTGGCTCGGTACAGCGCCTTGCAGTACGGCGACAAGGTGCGCGACGTGCTCAAGGCATCGGCCAGCGATGTGAACAGCGATTTCAGCAGCGACACCCTGCTCAAGCTATACGCGAGCCTGCTGCCCCGACAAACCAAGACGCGCTTCAAGCTGCCCAGTGACCTGAAAACGGATCATTCTGTGGTGAAACTGCCAGCGAAGGATGCCAAGCTGCCTCACTTTGATATCGTCGCTGTGCTTGACCCCGCCTCGAGAGCGGCGCAGAAGCTCAGCCCGATCCTAATACTGCTGCGGCAAACGCTCAACTGTCAGCTGCATCTGTATCTGACGCCCGTGGCCCAGCACAGCGATATGCCTGTCAAGAATTTTTATCGCTATGTAATCGAATCTGAGGTGCAGTTCGAGACGAATGGCGCACGCGCCGAAGGTCCGCTGGCCAAGTTCAGCGGGCTGCCCGCCAATCCGCTGCTGACACAGCAGCTGCAGGTGCCCGAGAATTGGCTGGTGGAGGCGGTGCGCGCTGTCTACGATCTGGATAACATTAAGCTACGCGACATTGGCGGACCCGTGCACAGTGAATTCGGTCTGGAGTACCTTCTACTGGAGGGCCATTGCTTTGATGCGGCCAGCGGAGCACCGCCGCGTGGCTTGCAATTGGTGCTGGGCACCAAGTCACAGCCCACACTGGTGGACACCATTGTGATGGCCAATCTGGGCTACTTCCAGTTGAAGGCGAATCCTGGCGCCTGGACGTTGCGCCTGCGTGAAGGCAAATCCGCAGACATTTATGCCATTAGCCATGCGGAGGGACCCAATACGCTGCATCAACAAGAAACGGGCGCGGTGCAGGTGCTGATTACCTCATTGCGCTCCCACGTAACCAAGTTGCGGGTGTCCAAGCGGCCAGGCATGCAGCACGCGGAGCTGCTCTCGGATGACTCAGCGCCAGCGCAGTCTGGCATCTGGAATAGCATTGCGAACAGTTTTGGTAGTAGCAGCGGCACAGCTGGCACGGATGAGGACGTGGAGACCATTAATATATTCTCCGTGGCCTCGGGGCATTTGTATGAGCGCCTGCTGCGCATCATGATGGTGTCGCTGCTGAAGCACACCAAGTCCCCGGTGAAGTTCTGGTTCCTCAAGAACTATTTGTCGCCGCAATTTACGGACTTCCTTCCTCACATGGCCAAGGAGTATAATTTCCAGTATGAGCTCGTGCAGTACAAGTGGCCGCGTTGGCTGCACCAGCAGACGGAGAAGCAGCGCACCATCTGGGGCTATAAGATCCTCTTCCTGGACGTGCTCTTTCCACTCAACGTGCGCAAGATTATCTTTGTGGACGCTGATGCGATTGTGCGTGCGGACATTAAGGAGCTGTACGACATGGACTTGGGTGGTGCCCCCTATGCCTATACGCCATTCTGTGATTCTCGCAAGGAAATGGAAGGCTTCCGATTCTGGAAGCAGGGCTACTGGCGCAGTCATCTCATGGGCCGGCGCTACCATATTTCAGCGTTGTACGTCGTGGACTTGAAGCGATTCCGCAAGATTGCGGCGGGTGATCGATTGCGGGGACAGTATCAGGCGCTCAGTCAGGATCCGAATAGCCTGTCGAATCTGGATCAGGATTTGCCCAACAATATGATACATCAGGTGGCCATCAAATCGCTGCCCGATGAATGGCTGTGGTGTCAGACCTGGTGCAGTGATAGTTCATTCAAGAACGCCAAGGTCATCGATTTGTGCAACAATCCGCAGACCAAGGAGGCCAAACTTACGGCCGCTCAGCGCATTGTGCCCGAGTGGAAGGATTACGATGCAGAGCTGAAAGCCCTGATGGCACGCATCGAGGACCATGAGAATCACAATATCAGTGGCAACAGGGAAAGTGTGGATGAGGACGAGGATGAGCATGTGGTCATCATTACAGAACCGCCGCCACCCGACCATGTCCATGGCGAGCTGTGATCGCATTCATTCATTTGTTTAGTAAATATAAGCCTAATGTCCTTTATACTTGGTAAATACGAAATTAGCTAAGCTTAAAAAAAATCTAGCAGGCATAAAAAAGAAAACCGAAAAACGAAACAGCTTCAAGTCTGAGAAGTTTTTGCATTCCATTCGCCATGATTTGAATTCAGCTGTAATAAATATAATAATTGAAATAACTGAATGCAAACTATTTCATTTGTTTAATTTAATAAAATCCTTGAACTTTTTCGAAAGGAAATGCATATGCTGCCTTTTAAATTTTACGCGATTGTCCAACATTGGTAATCTTACATCTGGCAACGCCATCTCCAATTGGTTTGAATGAAAGAGCGCGCAGTTGAATTGTTTTTGTTTTGAGTTTATTTTTAAATTATAATTTGAATTCATTGCATAAATTCGCGTATTCATTTTGTTTTCCTACGTAAAGAAAATATTTATATATTATCATAAGGTTTTTGGTTTATGTTTAGACCACATAGTATTTAGACATTTTTCGAATTTCTTGTATCCGACTTGGGGATTCTCTATTAATGTATTATTATTATTGTAAGGCAGACAGTGCAGTCCAATTAGTTAGTAAGATTTTTATATAGTTTACTGCTGAGTTTGTTTGTTTCTTTAGAAATGGCGCTGATTTAAGATTTTCGACTTTAGTTAGAAATTACATTTTGATTTTACTTATTCATTGTTCCTAAAAGCGTGTATGTTAAGTTACCTAACGTACTATTATTATTTCACTTTCTTTCTTTTTGTTTAATATTTAGCATAGTATATAATTCTTAAAAATTTTGGTTTTTTGTTTTTGCTAAAACTAACGCTGAGTGTAGTATACGAATTTTAGGTTATTAAAGCTTTGGTTTAAAAATTTTCTCAATATGTTTATTATGCATATGTTTTCGTTCAGACTACGCATTTATCTTCATCATAATTATCTTTTTTTCTAATTGAAACATTTTGGGGTTAAAACAAGAAAACAAAATTAATAAATGGAAAATTCATTAGGATTAGGAAATTGTTAACATTTTAAAGTTATTGTGTTAGTTCTTTTGTATTTTGTTTTTTTTTTATAAAGAGCTGCTAAACCATATATAAAAAAATGCTGTTGCCAAAAATGTTGGTTTCTCAGTTAATAATCTGTATCATCATTATCCTGTATATATACATATATGTATATATATTTATCTTGCACTTACTTGCTAAGAATTGACGGAACTATAAAAAATTAGACTGATGTTCGCTTTAAAGTCTACGGCAATATTGTAATATTGTTCTGCATATGTTATTATTAATTCTTTTGGTATTCAAAATATTCTATTGTATGATCTACTTCGATCTCGTCAGTTGTTAGACATAATGTTACGCAGAGTTATCTATTTTGAATGCAGTTTTGTTAATTTGTTCGTTGCTCATGGTTTCTTGCTTCTAGTTTTGTTTATTGCTTTAATCCAAATGTTTATACATATCCTCCAGCTGCGGCTTGAAATAGCTTTTCAATTGCGGCCGCTTGGCCTTGAATGTGGGCGTCAGTAATCCATTTTGCACAGAAAATGGATCTGGATGCAAATAAATATCTTTGACCTGAAATGGATGAATGCATAGAAATTAAATAGTGATTGATTGTTGGCTTAGCCTAAAGCGTTCTCATTTACCTGCTCAAACGACTTCAGTCCACTCTGTTTGCCCCAATTGAGCATATCATTCATAATCAGTTCCTTTACATTCTTATTATTGCACAGGACGGACAGTGTGCCGCGTACATTGTTTTCCGTGGCCCACTGCTTCAGAACATCGACATCAGGTACAACAACAGCGATAATGCAGCTCTGTGATAAGAAATTTTGATAATTAAATAATTAAACGTTTTGTGTAAAATATTTTCTGTACTCTTTAATTTCTTTTACTAATATTTGTTTATTTATTTTTTGTTAAATAAATATTTTATTTGCTACTATTTCGTCTTTATTTATTTGATT